ATTTTGGCGAGATGAATTGCTTCGCCTGTCTAAATCCTAGAGTATTATTTCAATGGGAGGCCTGTTGTGCCTCTACTCATTTTTTGAGTTCTGTCCTTATCTATAGCTATAAGTTCTTTTAAGCCTTGTTGTAGGAGAGCTGGAAAAATTCTGTCTTCTCCTAGTGATTTGTAGGGCTGAAAATTGTGTATTTTGTTTGAAGGGAATATTTTTCTAGCCAAACTTTTTGTTCGGTTGCTTGGGCGTGAGACGCCCTTAGCCACCGAAGCTCTGTTGCCGTTTAGCTCACACTCTACAGAGTCTGGGAAGTGCGATTGTAGGAGCAGTTTCACACTCTCTAATCTACTCTCTGTGTAACTGCCATCAGGTTCTTGCAGTAGTCAAATGCCGTTTGAGTGGTCTTTTGCAAAAACTTTCTAGAGTCGTATTGTCTGAGGGATGTCAGTAATCTCCTCACAGAAAATCCTTCAGGACCTTCTTAATTCCTTGTTGTATTCAGTTAGGGCAGTTCTGTATTCGTTCCAGTTGTTGGTGCGTTTTGTCCTCGGTTTTGTTCTATTGAATAACCTTCTTGTTTCAGCTCTTAGGGAATTGAGCATCCTGTTCCACCAGGGCGTTTTTCTATCTACGACCCTTTGTTTCACAGGACAGCTGTTCTCATAGGCTGTTATTATTAGAGTGTTTATTTCGTTCATGATATACTCTAACTCACCCTGTGTTTCTATTGCGTTGGGGTTGTCGGTTACTTCTGCTTTTAGTAGGTCTTTGTATAGACCCCAGTCAGTTATTTTGATATTAATAAAATCCCAGATTCGACGACTTTAAACAACGTATTTATTATTAACAATTCGGTTACAATACAGGTATTCTTTCGATCTAAACGAACTGATTGTAATCACATCAGGTTTGTTCATGAGACGTCAAAAAAACAGTTAGGGCCAATGAAATCATGGTAAAACCAGATGACAATTGTTTGTAACAAACCTCAAGTGACTTCCGATCAGTTTGTTCAGATCAAAAGAATACCTGGAATAGAAGACAACAACCAACAACATTGACAAAGTTGACAGAACACACATTACGTGTCATTGCAATATTGTCAGCTTGCACATTAGATTTGTATATCTAAAACATAGCGCTATCTCTTAATGAGAAGCTAAGCTTACATACATCGAGAACCAATATATTGGATTTTTACCATACATCATAATACATCCACTTACACTTTTCCTGTTTATTTTGTCAGTTGCCCAATCGGCATCTGAATATCCAGTGAGTGTTAATTCAGTAATATCAGTTTTATAATAAGTTAAAGTTTTCATTTTGGTTTCCTGTAAATAACTCAAAACTTTTTTCCCTGCATTCCAAGTCTCCATTGTTGGTTTATCTAAAAATCAACTTAGATATGATACTGAAAATGTAATGTCGGGTCTGGTAGTTATTGATAGGTACATTAGTCCTCCAATTAACTCTCTATAGGGTACATTAATTATTTCGCTCTCAGTGTTGTATTGAAATCCTTTCTCTATTGGTGTTGTTTTTCCAAGGAGCAAACCACCTAGAAATTCTTTGCCAAAAATGTGGGGAATTTAGAGGAATTTATGGGAAAAAAGGAGTTTGTAAGGAATTTGAAGGAACTCATCCGAATTTATGAGAATTTAAGGAATTTATAGGGAATTTGGAGGAATTTATGGGCAACTTGGGAGAATTTGTGAGGAATTTATGAGGAATTTAAAGGAAATTGTCAAATTTAAAAAATTCAAAAAAATAATGAATACAGTTTTTATAGGCTGATTTTCAAGATTTTTCATGTTGTTATTTTCCACTGGAAAAATTTAAATTTGTGAGAAAATGAGCTTCTCACCTTCGTCTTTACACCCAAAAATGTCAAAATTTTCCCTTCTCTAGTTTTCCAGGAAAACTTTGAAATATGTGAGACTGTATTTTCAATTAATTCAGTTATTGTAGGTTGATTTCCAAGATTTTTCATGTTGCTGTTTTCCACTGGGAAAATGAGCTTCTCACCTTCCTCTTTACATGCAAAAAGTTTCAAAATTTTCCCTTCTCTAGTTTTTCAGGAAAACTTGGAAATATGTGAGACTGTATTTTCAATTAATTCAGTTATTGTAGGTTGATTTTCAAGATTCCTCATGTTGTAATTTTTTACTGGGAAAATTTGAAATTCTGAGAAAATGAGCTTCTTACCTTCCTCTTTACATGCAAAAAGTTTCAAAATTTTCCCTTTACTAGTTTTCAGGAAAACTTTGAAATGTGTTAGACTGTATTTTCAACTAATTCAATTTTTGTAGGTTGATTTCCAAGATTTTTCATGTTGCTGTTTTTCACTGAAAAAATTTGAAATTTTGGGAAAATGAGCTTCTCACCTTCCTCTTTACATACAAAAAGTTTCAAAATTTTCCCTTTTTTTAGAGGAATTTGTGGGGTATTTGGAGAAGTTCGTGGTTTTGTATTTGGAGGAATTTGTGATGGGATATCTGGAGGAATTTGTAAGAATTTTGAGGAATTATGCGTAAAAAATTCCCCTTTGAGGAATTGTTTGCACCAATTCTGGGATGTTGGTTTACCCCTTGTATTTTTCCACAATAATTTTCTATCTTGAATGTTGTCAGTAATTTTTCTATAAATTTTTTTTGGTTTATTTCTATTACTTCTTCAGTTCTTGTAATGTTCATTCTTAAAAAGTTTTTAACTTCGCCTAAGTCTTTGGCTGGAAATCTTTCTTTAGTCATTAGAGAACAATAATATTGAATAGGGTACTCTCCTCTCTCGTTGATGTTTGTGCTGCCCCATATGGTGTGGTGGGAGTTGGCATCAGAACCGATTATAGGGTGTTTGTTCATCCTTTCGTAGTAGCTCACGAGTCGTTTAACGTCCTCTGGGGGTGGATTTGTCTCGTCGTCTCCAGAGAAGTAAGCCGAGGCAATCACTACCTCTTGCTTACCCCCTGAAGTTGGTGCCTGCAGACAAGTTCCTTGTAATTAACTCTTTAAAAGGAACAAAGTTGATATTTTTATTTAGCATTATTGCTGCCCTTGGATGTTCATGTTGATTATTGTATATTAACTTACATGATTTTGTTGGAAGTCCTTTTATTCATGAACCATGGGTCCATGGCTCCTGAATGAGGACTATGTCCAGTTCTTCCCAGTTGAATCTGCAGCTAAGCACGTTTGATGCAGCTTTTGCGTATTGCAGATTCACTCGTAACACTTTGCAAAGAGCCATTATGATTATTCTTTGCTGGGACCTGTATGATCCCTGGTTTTGCTGGGCTTTTTACCCGTTGTAGTTTTGCCTTTTCCTTTGGGACATGTCTCAGTCCCCCTGGGGTCTGCCACTTCCGACACAGGCGCCCGACAGCAGCACCAGTTTCAGGCACCTTTTTTAGGACTGTCCTTTGGGGTCCTCCTCTCGGCTTTAGCCGAAGCTGGCCGAATCGGTAGGCCATCCCAAAGTTTTCCCTTTTCAGGTTTTCATAAGACTGTTGGTCTATAGAAATGGTTAGCCGAGCAGAGGTCCCCTCGGTCACTCTTTTGGGGACTCTCCAGTCCTCAGCGCTCAGTCTTTTGTTTTCGCCTTTGAGAAGACCAAGTGTTTCCTCGTTGGGGTTATTTGCACTATTGGGAAAGTCTCCTACAAAGATTTGCGGCCGAGGAATTCTGGATTCTTCCATTGCCCTAAGTGCAGCCCCATCCCAGGGCTTTGGAATAGCCACTTGCTTGTGTCTTCATGCTCCCAGGTGATCACTACGAACCCTGGTTTGAAGGTGCAAGATAGGAACTTGGGTTTCACAACCCCATCCTTTTCCTGCAAATTTTTTTGCAAAAGTGCATCCTGGGTAGCCTCAAGCTGTTCCGTACTAAGCTGCACCTCCGGAAAGTTTTCATGGGTGATGCCCACCTTGATGCCTTGAACCGCCTGTTTGTAGGAAACAGCGGCTCTATTAGGTTTGGGTGGTGGGGCCGTTTTGGCTGCCCCTGTGGCATCTTTAATTTTTTTGGCTGTTGCCTCTGGGGTTGAGCCGTCAGATCGGGTCCTTTCTGTTGGAACCTTTATTGTTTCATTGGCTGTTCTGTCAGTTTTCGCGCTTCCTCACTGCTGTGACCTTTCTTAATAAGCCACTTGAAATGCTTCCTCGCGGCTCCACTATAGTTCTTCCTTTTCAGCTTTAAGTCAGTTAACGACTTGCAAACCTTCTGGGAGGTTGATGCCTCACTTTCACCAGGGGATGTTGATTCATTTGCTGGAACGGCAGGGCTTTCAGGCGAAACCATTTCCGTTTCTGCCTGAGTCTCAGTGTTTGGGGTATTGTTGTCCCCTGAATGTATAAGGACGTTACATTCCTTTTTGTTTTTGAGGACATTGCTGTTCCCCGAGGTAGTGGGGTCGTTATCGACCCTTAGAGGTTTTTTTACTTTTGGATCATTCATATTGATTCCCACGAGTATTGGGGAAGTAAAAATCGCCTGTAGCAGGAGGCAACTTGAAGTCCTGGAGATTGCTTGGTCCTCGGAATTCGCAAGCTATCGACTAAGCATTTCCTTCGCCATGCAGTCTTTGGCACTCGCTGTTCCACCTTGACTTGGGGAGATTATTTATTGTGGCTCTCAAACCACTCGGTCCGGGCGGTTAAACCAAGACCCCCCCACGAATGTCTGTGAGACATAACCACTAACAACATCCGTGCTAGTTTTACAGTTTGAGAGCTTCCGAAGTAGCCCAACAAACCGGCATCGTTTTATCCCAGTGCAGGCCCTTGACGACGATACGACAGTTTTCTGTCTATCTGTTTGTGTTTTACCTATATGGAAGTTTAGTACAGTTTGCCCCATGAAAAACTAACTGCAAACTTACAAACTACGCGCTTGACATATACAATCATTCGCCCAATAAATCTTCCTATAATTCTCTCGTAAATTCTTATTTATTTAAATCACCCACATAAATGGATTGGAATTAATTATTTGTTTTTGTTGCAGTGGTTTCGAAACGAAAATTCTGGAACCCGAAAAAGTGGTTCAGGAAAAAACAGAAAACCGGCGACGATGCCGCCGGGGTGCATCACTTGCACCAGCACCAGGATGTCGTCCGGGATCAGGACGGTTCTCGTAGCCGGTCTACTGGAGAACTGTCCACCGACGAGGAACCTACCAGAAGGTACTTTGAAACTTTAATATAATCATAATAAGTCAAACATATTTTTTTTTCTCTTTTTTTTTATAGTCTTGAAGTCCGAAATTCAGCAAACATGAATCCAGGACTTAGCGTTTCTCACGACAGCGTCTTTCACCCTCTCAATTCTTCGGATTTGGAATTGGACGGGGCTCAAAGTTCCTCGTCACTGTCGATATCTCAACCTTTAGGTGATGCTAAATTACAGGTAAGAAGTTTTATAATAATTGCAAAATTTGACTGATAAATTAGTGATTTGTGGAAAAGGTATTTTTCTTTAGGACACACCTGCATTTATGACCAATATTCCTTATCGGGCGTCATTAAATTCCCATTTTATGTTTCACCTTGAAGAGTTGTTTTCCTATTTATAATAAAAGCTGCTAGTTTGTTAAACTTCACGTAATTTACGATTTATTTTATCTGAAACCTTAAAAAGCGATTATTATTATTATTAACTTTTTATCTTATCTTTGAATAGTTAGTGACAACAATTATGGAAATTTGTCCAAACGGTCAGAGAAGCAATTACGTAAAAATAAAAATGCTGTTTCGCAACTACTATTGGCTGACGATCGGTTAAGTGATCGCGGACCTTGTCTCAAGTCCTTATATGGTAACGAGACTAATTCGTTTTTTCTTTTCTAAGACATCTGGTGCACCTTATCGACCGGCCGCCAGAAATGCCGAGTATGTCTGATTAGATAATTGTTGTATTGATTCGATTTTGTACAAAATTGAGGGCGATCTTGGTTCAATAACAGCATCTCCAATCTGTTTATATTTTTTGTGAGCCAATTTTTTGTTAAAAATATAAATCAAAAAAACAACAAAGTATCACTAACATAGACAGTCTTATGACTCAAGTTATCACAGAAAATTAGGTTCAAATAAATACCCCTGTAATTTGGTACATAGTTGATTTAATACAGATTCAAATATGGGAAAGTTTCAATAACGCTCTCTGTAACTGAGGAATATCCCTCAATAAGGGTTCCAAGAGCATCATTAGATCATTTTAGATTGGGGAGATTGTAGTCCCCGGCAACAAATAAACTATGCTATAGTAGATGCTTTTTCCACTGTTTCACAATGTTTTCTATAGGTATCGCTACATGATGATGGTGGAATATACACCCAGCAGAATAGTTTTTTGAGGTTCGTGCAGAGACTTGTGGATACCCATATTTCCTCACTATCATTGCAAGAGATTTGCAGCTGTTGGGATTTATATTTTTTATTTACTGCTATCAGTACGCCTCCATTTCTTTGTTTACCAGTGACTGTACTATCTCTGTCCTTTAGGTATATGTTATAGTTTTCCATGCCCAATTCACTGCTAATAAAATCCAAATTCAGTGATGTTTTATTAAGCAAAATCACATCGTATTGATTGAGTGCAACTTTATTACGAAGCTCAGATAGTTTAGTTCTAAGACCATTCACGTTCTGATAATAAACACTTATTATATTGGAATTGTTTAGTACCTGGTTCCAGTGAAAATTTGAACCACCCCGATTGCCACTGTAGGATCCTGCACGTGCATGTCTGGCATGGAACTGACCCATACCAGGTTAAATTTGAACTCTCGGATAATGATATTTTCAGGCCAAAAATTGTCACCTACCTGTGGTATATATTTACTGTCTATTCCTACCTTAAAAAACCTTTGGTTCTTAGTTGAGCAACTGAGATTTCCTCTCCATTTGTAATGCTGGCTTTATTCTTAACATAAGCCAACACCGACTCACATGTAGCACTGTTTTGTGTTTGGTTTACATGTAGCCATTATTTCTTTGGAACTCCTATGAACTGGCTATTCTTTATGGATTGGACATCTTTATTATTCCCATTTTGCAGAACTACACCAACAAAGTCAGCATTGTTTGTGATTAATGCACTGGTTCTCTGAGGAATATACTCAATAATTGATTGAATCAAAGAAACAATACAACAACTTTAAACAGTAAATATTATTAACTTCCTCCAATGTGTGTGATAGAAATCCTAAGAGTCTCAAACACAATTTTATGATCAAACACAACCTCTAGATCCTTAATTTTGTTGACACTAATAAGATCCAAGGCCTTTGAAAAGTCTGTGTCAACCTGACACAGATCCTCCAAAACCTGTGATTTATACTCAGTATACTCCAATAAGTTACTAATATGGTAGATCTTCCATTAACAAAACCATGTTGATTTTGGCAAATTAAAGATTAAAGGCTTAATAAGTGGAGGTAGTTTGTTTGTCACACTATTTCTTCAAATATTTTACTAAATAAACTTGTTTTGGAGATTCCATTTTAGTCCTATCACCATTTTTAAAAATAAGTGTGACAAAACTAGTCTTGCATTTCTCAGGATATATTCCTGAACTCGGAGATTTTGAGTATTTTTTAAACAAAATTGGTGCAAGGACAGTTGAAAATAAGATCATGTGGGATGCCATCCAGGCCCTTACCCAGTGATGACCTCAGTTTCTCGATGGTACAAAACACGTCCATTAAATCAATTTCCAAGTAACCCAAGCTTAGACTTGATATCCGATGGTTGAAAATTCATTTTTTAATTTTCATCAGAAATATAAACATGCCCAAAAATGTTGGCAAACAAATTTACGATATCCCGAGTGGTTGCATCCGGTAATGCAAATATTTCTAGTGGTATAATTTTTCTCTGCTGAGTTAAGGAGACGACTAGAATATTCAACTGGACTGGAGCGGTGGTTAAGGCCTACTTTAAAGTCCGAACTGATTTTTCTTGTGGCTCATGTGCCTTTTTTCGGGTTAAATCTGTCATTAGCAAAATTTGATACGAATTTGCGATACCAGGAACAAGTTTGAATAAAGGTGCGAAGTTCTGTTCTTGGACTTGGCAAATCAGGAATTGCTGAAATCTTCTCGGGGCTTACAACAATACTTTCAGAAGTCAATACATGACCAAGATATTGTATGTTTGTAGTGGCAAAGGTATATTTCTCTCTGTTAACTCGTAGGTTGAATTTTTGAAGTAGGTCAAATATTTTTTGCAAGTCGTTTCAGTGTTCTTTGAATGTTTCTGATAACATTAGCAGATCATTCAAATATGTAAATACCATGACATCAAGACCACTCTTAAATTTATCTATCAGCCTCTGGAATACAGCCGGAGCATTTTTAAGACCAAACGGCATCCTTTTAAATCTGAATAGACCAAAATGCCGTTTTATCCCGATCCTTTTCCTCTACTGATATTTGCCAAAATCAGTCTATTGTGGACATGTATTTCATCTATTTTGTTCCTTGTAAAAGGTTATCTATTCGGGACATTGGATACTTGTCGCTAATTGTGATGCTATTGAGCTTCTGGTAGTCGATGCACACTCTGATTTTACCATTGGGTTTTGGCACCATGACAACAGGGGCACGGGCTCTCACATTCTTAATTATGTCGTTAGAAAGCATTTTATCAATTTCTACCTTTAATATTTCTCGTTTGGTTTTATTGAGTTGATAGGGTGGTAAAGAAATTGGAATAACATTAGGCTGGGTTCTAATGTGCAATGTGGCAAATTTCGTGGCCTGACCACTGGACTTAAAGACTTGTGAATTTGCTCGTAACATCTCCTTCAGTTGATTCCAATCCTCTAACGGCCAGGACAACAATTTATGATTTGATCATTTCTTTTTGGTAATTGGTGTTTCTTGGGGAGGCCGTTCGCCAGGTTAGGATCCCATTTGTTACACGATTATACTATTTAAGGTAAGTGTAGCAGTGGGGGGTGATTTGCTGTTGGGTACCAGCTGCATAATGTGATTTCAATGAATTCAGCATAATGGGGTTTCAATAAAATAGCTGAATGCTCTTCAACTTTGCCAGGCAAGATTGTGTTTCTGTTTTCTAGATGAAAGAGTCAAGTGATCAGATTTTATATTGTAGCTGAAATGGTCTATTATTTGAAAAAGATTATTCCAGAAGAGGAACATTATTGCAAGTACATATACTTTTTTCTTGTGTCTAGTTTAGGTTATCATCATAAGTTTTCTGGGTTCACTACTGAAGTTATTTCCAAGCCCTTTTTTTAGGCACTTGCAATCTGATTTGTCCTTGATTCTTTCTAATTAGGTAGGTTGGTAGGTTCTAAGAAATTGAAACTAGATTGATTGAACTAAATCAGTTTTCCAGTAGGTATATAACTAAACTACATGCAGTATAGAAGTAATAATAATATATATATATACAAATGGCTTCAAAACGTTCTTCGACGTCTTCCAATGTCCAGTAGCCATTGATCTCTATCCAGCCAGAGATCCTCTTTTAGTCTCCAGTCTCTTATCTCCTTGTCTTTCCTCTCTCTCCAGCTTTTTCGTGATCTTCCTCCACTGGCTTCCAATCAAGAATCTGTTTTGGCAGTCTCTCATCAGACATTCTTTGTACGTGGCCGAACAATTATAGCTGTTATGTTCTTATGTCGTCAGCGATTGTCCTATTCATACCCTGGATTTCTCAAATTCTGTTGTGTTAGGTATACTTTCCGCTCTAGATTTTCCTAGAAATCTATTTCAGTCGCTTCGAGGGTACGTATGGTTCTATCCTTTAAATGCCCTACTTCGCTTCCATAGGAAACAATGCTTTTTACAATTGTGTTTATTGGTTTTAGAGATATGGTTGTCCCCATAGAACACAGTTTGCTTTTTTTCCTCGAGCATTTCTATCTTTTATGGCGGTTTTACACCAAACCGATACGTTGAGTTGCTGTTTTAAAAAACAAAAACTTAACTGTTGTTACCGATAAAACTGTTCACACTTATAAATATTATAAAATAATGAACACCCATCTACTCTCTGAATTGAACTAAACAAAACTGCAACCGTTTCTCTGATGTAAAACGACAGAAAATAAAAACTTGACAGCAACTAATTTTTGTCTGTTTACTGTGAACAGTTTTATCGCTAAAAACAGTTGATTTTTTGTTTTTTAAAACAGCAACTTAACATTTTGTTTTTTCGAGCCCCATGAAATTAGGTTTTTGTTCATAAACACTACATAACCACTGACACTTTTTCTATCTAATTGATCACTGCCCCAATCCGCATCAGTGTAGGCCGTTAGTTGATTCTTGCTTTCCGTGTTTCTTTCATAAGTGAGTGACATGTTCTGTGTTTGTTTTAAGTATCTCAGGATCCTCTTTGCAGCCGTCCATTCTTGTTCTGTAGGTTTATCTA